TATAATAATTATACATGTAATTATTGTAACTGTGATTACATATATAATTGGGATTGTGATAAAAATTTAAAAATTAAATTTAGTATGTGATTTATAGTGTACGTGAAAATTTTAAAGCATATTGACGTCATTCTGTGGCTTTGGAAAAAGAGAAAATATATATAGCCGGTAGATTCTTAACTCTTTTGGTCGTAAATATTTTTGATAATATACAACAGCGTATATTTAATTATAATATGTCTACATTAATCGCAATCAAAATTTGAATTCCTATAGTTTAACGCATCTTGTAAGCAGGATTACAGCAAGAGGGATAAAAACGAAAAGGCAGAAAAATGGTAATGATTGTGGCAAATTATGAGGAACAGCTAAATGAAAGTGTGAATTAACCAGGTTGCATCGTATAGTACCACGCATTAACGATATTTTTTATTGCCCAACGTGAAGGAAACTCGGCCATTTCCACGATCATTTTAGTAAAAACTTAACGGTAAAATTGTGTTAGAAGAACTGGTAATTTGCATGAATTTATTTCTGTATAAGCTTAATAATCACGTGCATTGCTACATACGGTAATAAAACTACAAGTCATCAGTGCAAAAGCATGGATATTTCAAATGCAATAACGGGACAAAACCTTTTAAATACGAGACGCAAGAAACTTGGAAATCGGCCCTAATGTCTATCGAACTTTACATTACGTAAGAGGAAAAATTGCATTTTCTTTTCGAAATTAAGTTTCCTAACCTAATTATAATTTTTAATATAAATTGTAAACGAGATATTTAGAATTTCAAAAGAAAGATAAATAATTATAGAATTTCAAAAGAAAGGTAAATAATTTTAATTTTATACTTATTTTAAACTTATTTCAAGTGTGTGCTTAAGCTTCGTTTCTATGAATGAAAGAACATTTTCTAAAATTTTTTGAAGAAAAACGAATTAGTGAATTGGGCTGAATATTTTTTTGATTCGAAAGTAAATATATTGGTGGATAATTATTTAGAAAAAAATTGTAGCTTTTAGACGTTGTATATCCTGTATTGCAATAGTAAATATGGCCGACAAATTGAAGTACTTCGTGGCTGCAGTTCGAACGTAGCTACACTGCATGACTCATGATCCCAGAATGGCTCGATATGAAAATGGGTGGAATTTTATTGTCTATGACGAATCAAAAACTACTTTTTAAATATTAAAAAATTGACAGGAACACATCACTTAAATAATATACGATATTGTATCTAAAAACATATTCCTTTATTAATGAATAAAGACTTGCTTGGTGTAAAAGTATTATATTAAAAATTCGAATTTTTATTATTTAGATTTCATTAATAATTGGAATTTTATTTACATTATATTAATAATTAGATTCAAATTTAATTTTACAATTCTATTACTGAAAAATTAAAATATCGAACAAATTTGTCAAATGAGACATAATTTTATGAACCATAAACATGTTCCTTTATTAATGAATAAAGACTTGCTTGGTGTAAAAGTATTATATTAAAAATTCGAACTTTTATTATTTAGATTTCATTAATAATTGGAATTTTATTTAGATTATATTAATAATTAGATTCAAATTTAATTAAATAATTCTATCACTGTAAAATTAAAATATCAAACAAATTTGTTAAATGAGACATAATTTTATCAACTATATACAATCCAATTTTCATAAAAGGATCTTTTATTATTTAGATTACATTAATAATTAGAATTTTAATTATTTAGATTCTATTTAATTATATAATTCTGTCACTGAAAAATTAAAATATCAAACAAAGTTGTCAAGTGAAACATAATGTTATCAACCATATATGAACAAATTGTTATGAAAAATATCTAGAAGATTGAAGAAATATTTAAAAGAAAAATACGTTGAAAATTCTCACATTTCTGATATTCATCCTCGACCTAAAATTTGACAATAATTTCGTCAATTGTCAAAATTTCGCCTTGAAAATTGCACAAAATATTTTCCACGAGATACGAAATTGAATGGGTAAAGAAAATAATTAATTATGCGAACGAAAGATAAGAGATAAAAGTTTAAAAGTAAAAGTCACAGTCTCCTTTGAAAGAAGATCGATCGTATCGAGGTTATTGGAGAAATCTGATTGCTGAAAAGGAAAATGTAAAAGATTATGCTAATGGAAGCAACTGCGGAGTAGAAGAAAGGAAGAAAAATAGGATACGAAATGCGCAGATATTGTGGAACCAAGGCAAAGCACGAGATGCAATTCCGACCAAGATTGCTCCACTTTTGCTCCCAGTGTTCCCACTACATGACAAACATCCGTGATGTATCTCTTCATCTTGTTCTCACGATTAGGGTACGCTGTTTCACTGCAATTTGTGAAGGGTAAACAAGCAGATTCAGGAAAAATACACCTGGTGTAGCTCTTATCGTTCGTTTCTCAATGAACCGAATAAAATTGATCATTCAGCGTGACTAAACGACGTAAAAATTTTTGTACAGTCAATTTTACTGCCTTTCTAAACGATAATTTTGAATCTTACACCTTGTGTGAGCTTAGACGTTTTGAATGGGAATTTATGTTGCATTGGAAGGGTGTATGTCGTCTGTAAATTAAAATAAAGGAGGTTTAAATTTGAATTAATTGAAAGGATAGATGTATCCTGTCTCAAATACTGAAAAAATTTCTTCTTTTATAATATTTTATAAAATATAGTATTAAAATTTTATAAATTATGGTATTTTATAATATATCATAAATGTGATAAGACGTCATATAATATTATGGAAGATATAGTACAAATATAAAAACACAGAATAAAAAGTGTAATAAAATATAATAGATATAAGAAATAAAAATAGCAAAGTCTTCTAAAATCAATTGTAAAATTTTCCATTTAATTTATATATATTTCTATTGCTGTGATATCTTTTTGTGTTCGAGCAAAATCTGCAACATCATAGTATATTTGATTTCGAGCAGAATTAGTCCGAGAATTTGATGGCTCCAAGAAAGAGTAATTTCAACGCAGATGTTCAGAATACACAGCTGACAGAGGAGTAACACATGGTATTTAATTTATTGGTCAAATACAAATTTTACATACAAAGGTCATCATTTATAATAAAAGTTATACAATTTTATTATGTGCATTGTATTCACAATATACAAAACAATTTCAGTAGCTAAATATTTTTATATCTTTTTATCCTTTTAATATTTTATACTAAATATATTTGTTAAAAATTCACAAATTTTCTAAATCTGAAAGTAAAAATATTTATAACTGAATGCATAAATTATATTGTAGATTTAGGATAACCAGTATGTTATGGATTTCTCCCATGAGAAATTTGAATGCTTCAAATAATCAGTTTATCTTGTTTGATTAACGATGCTCCTCCACCTGCAGATATTGCAACAAGATATTCTCAAGATACATAACAAAACAACAAATTATCTTCCCGTATCAATTTCTCAAAGCCAACTTTTCTTTCAAACGTATCATTTTACTCGTATCTCTTACGTATCTCAAACATTCCAACTATCTTCCCCTTATCATATCAATCAATCACCTCGCTCAAATTAGACTGAAACTTTCGTTATTAAGTTAATATTATTAAATTATTAAATTTGGTATTGTATTCCTATATTGCACTTATATTATAAGTATATCAATTACACTTACATTATTTATCTGAATCGTCATATTTACATTATTATATTTTCTTAAATTTGTAAATAGTTTAATAATTTAATTTATATAACTTATGTATGTAAATTAGAGATAGTATTTAATGGTATTTTATATCATTATACTACACATAATATGTTGTTATTTTCCAATTTTCATTATGAAGTATTCTCATCAATGATATTTACGTTATTTATCTCAATTATCATATTTCAATTGTTTATTATATTTTCTTAAATTTGTAAATAGTTTAATAATTATATTTATTTAACTTATGTATGAAAATTTGAAATAGTATTTAATGGTATTTTATATCATCATACCACACACAATACAGTATTATTTTCCAATTTTCATTGTACAGTATTCTCATCAATTATACTTACGTTATTTATCTGAATTATCATATTAAAATTGTTTATTATATTTTCTTAAATTTGTAAATAGTTTAATAATTATATTTATATAACTTATGAATGTAAATTTGAGATAGTATTTAATAGTATTTCATATCATAATACCACACATAATACAGTATTATTTTCCAATTTTCATTCTACAGTATTCTCATCAATTATACTTACGTTATTTATCTGAATTATCATATTAAAATTGTTTATTATATTTTCTTAAATTTGTAAATAGTTTAATAACTAAATTTATAAAACTTATGTATGTAAATTTGAGATAATATTTAATGATATTTTATATCATGATACTACACTCAATATATTATTATTTTTCAATTTTCATTATATATTATTATCTTCAATTATTCTTACAATATTTATTATATTTTCTTAAAATTTTAAATAGTTTAATAATTAAATGTACAAACAATCTATTTATAATATAAAATTTATATAAATTCGAGATACCATTTAAATGTCACATATCACAATACTACACGTAATACAGTATTATTTATACACGGTAGAATATTTCATACAAATTTATATACATTTAACTGTGCACAGCTTAAAAATGTATATTCGCCTATATATACAGCTATATAAATCGTACTCGCGTCATATTCCTTTGTTACACTTATATCCCGCCATGTCGTACTTGCATAACCGAATTAAACCGAAACGAAGAAAAAACTGCGTTAGAAAAAGCATAGATAACCTTCGACTGCTGTCGAGTCACCCGGTACATACGTGGGAGTGGTTGCGACGAGGGCAACCGCGGTCGCCTGAGAACCACTGTCCTTTCTCTCTAGCAGCGCGCCTGGTGGGGGCGCCTAGCGGAGGGGAAGGGAGTTTCTCGTGCACGCTCTTTGCGGGCGTACTTTTCACCAGTCGTGAACGCTGTCAGTGAGCGTCAGTCTCGAAGGAGTGGTCCTGCCGGTGTCCTCGTTCGCGTCAGGATCCTCCTTTGTGAGAACACTGTGTCTGCCTCTACTTCTCTCTCCGGAATCGAGTCCTTTCTTACCCGACGTCTCATCCACGCCGCGAGAACACCCTCGACAGGACCAATCCATCGAGGATTCGCGAGTGAAACCGGAACCAACCGGGCTTTCGTTGTCCTACCGTCGAATCTCTTGCGCAATCCATCGATCAGTCTATCCTTCGTCGTTCTTCGTGACCGATTCCAACCTACGTGACTTCTTTCGCTTCCTTGGACCCGCAGTGAGACACCTACACCTGTATCAGCCAGACCTAGCGTCACACCAGGCTCAAAACAACCGTTAAGAAGTACCACCAAGTGGAATCATGAAATGACCAGGTGACAGAGGTTCGACGAGCGCATGAAGAATCCAGAGAGTCGATTTGTGTCGAAGGAATCAAGCCGGGACTAAAAATAGCGCGTCATTGTTCAGCTTTGCGCCAGCCTGTGGAATTAGCCGCTCGAAAATCGCGCAACTCTCAATTTTCTGCCGCTGTCGGCTGTCATTTGTGCGCTGCCGTGAAGCATGAACCGGCGAGCAGTGAGTCGGGCCCTTCGACGGACACTGAACTCGATTCGTTGGAAAAGCGCTGAACAGACCAGGAAGTTCCCCGAGACACGTGCCGCCCGATGTGATTTACGCGACTGGAACATGCTCGAGATCTGAAGAGCGCAGGCCTGGCTAGCTTTGACTCGAGGGCTGACGCTGGTCAAACAGAAGGCGAGCAATCATCGATCTTCCGATTGAATGGGTGCCAGGTCAGCGTCGAATTTCCCACGCTAAATCCCGCGGAGAGCCACGCGACCTGGTCCTTGTTATCTCGCGACCAGACTCCATCCTCCAGCGAGAATTGTCAGCCATTGGAACATGTCCAACTCGACGACTCCTAGCCAAGGTCGTCTCACCAACCGAACCTTTCCAACCGCCTTGTCCCGGAGTAGCCTACAGACGTGTCTCTCGTGATGCTATCTCGCTGATCCGCTCTCTCGTAAGAGTCTCTGTTCGGAGACAGCGTCGAAGAGAGAGAGGAGAGTCTGTCATTTTGCAATTTCTCTGTTGGGGAGAGGAGAAGAGCGAATCGTCGCACCAAAGTTCAGACTCTGTACTATGAAAGTGCGGAGTTATCCTGGCAGAGCCGTGTTGGAGGACCCAGAGCTGCTCTTGGATCCTGACGCGACCCGAGGGAGAGCCATGGAGCTCCTCTATGAGGCCAGCTGGCGCGAGTGCGGTGTGAACTGGGCGAGCAACGCGAGGAGCAAGCCTCCGTCTAGAGAGGACGAGTACAGGCAGCCCTATGCCGAAGTAATCTCGCAGTTGGAGGGTGTCTTGGAGGGTAGTCGCTCGTCCGCTAGGGAGGACTCGGAGTCCAGGAGGTCCAGCAGCACGGGCACCACCGATAGCGAGTCCAGCGAGCTGAATCAGACAGGCAATAGCCAAGGTGGATTCCTCATACCCAGACCGAGGCTGATCGTACCGGTTCACACCTACGCCAGGAGACGACGAACCGGTGCCCCACCTCCGGCCAGGAGGCGACAGATACGCGAAGGTATTCGAGCGGATTTTTTAACCAGCTTAGAGACCCGTTTTGGGCGAGACGGTTTCGTTGGGATGGGGCGAGAGAGAGAGAGAGAGAGAGGTTGAGTAGACTTGGATCTTGATAGATCGCGGCCAGTTTGGGTTTTGTTATTGATCGATCCCCCTTTTTCGTAGGTTGGCTCAGGTTGTGGAATTGCAACATTGCTATATAGCATAGTCGTCAGACTATATATTATAAAGTCGTCAGATTTCAGAATTATGAAATTTACTAGAGTACAACTTATCACAATGTACTATAATTATATTACAATTAATATATTAACTTAAACTTTTGGACGAAATAATATATTTCGTAGATTGACTCAAGATGTGAAATTGCTACAATACAATATAGTAATGTCATGAGATTTCAGAATTATGCAATTTACTAGAGTACAACTTATCACAATGTACTATAATTATATTACATTTAATATATTAACTTAAACATTTGGACGAAATAATATATTTCGTATATTGACTCAAGTTATGGAACTGCAACATTGCAATATAGTAAAGTCATCAGATTTCAGAATTATGAAATTTACTATAGTACAACTTATCACAATGTACTATAAATATATTACAATTAATATATCAATTTTCATATTTGGACGAAATAATGCATTTTTGTAAGTTAACTCAAGTTGTGAAATTGCTACAGTGCAATATAGTAATGTCATGAGATTTCAGAATTATGCAATTTACTATAGTACAACTTATCACAATGTACTATAAATATATTACAATTAATATATCAATTTAAGTATTTGGACGAAATAATATATTTTTGTAACTTGACTCAAGTTGTGAAATTGCTGCAGTGCAATATAGTAATGTCATGAGATTTCAGAATTATGCAATTTACTATAGTACAACTTATCACAATGTACTATAAATATATTAAAATTAATATATCAATTTTCGTATTTGGACGAAATAATACATTTTTGTAAGTTAACTCAAGTTGTGAAATTGCTACAATGCAATATAGTAATGTCATCAAATTTCAGAATTATGAAATTTACTGGAGTACAATTTATCACAAGGTATTATAAATATATTACAATTAATATATTAACTTAAACATTTGGACGAAATAATATATTTCATAGATTGACACAAGTTGTGGAATTACAACATTGCAATATAGTAATAAAGTCATCAGATTTCAAAATTATGAAATTTACCACAGTACAACTCACCACAATGTACTATAAATATATTACAATTAATATATTAACTTACATATTTAGACGAAATAATATATTTCTTAATTTGGTTCAGAATAAGGACTTGAAAAATTTATGGTAGTCTAGAGTCTAGTCCAGATTATTTTCAATGTGTATGGTTTTTAAGAGATGTTAATGGTAATATGGAAATTATAGACTGATTAGATCCTTTTCTAAAGGATTGGATGAACGTATAGTAAAAGCTATATAGATTTTTTAGTATATTAGTAAAATCTATAGAATTTTTGATACCTACGTAGAGATCTACTAAGGACATTTTGAACACATGATTTTTTTGATTTTGTGGGTGGTTTCTGAAAAATGTTAATGGTACTGGTTCCAGTATAACCAAATGGTTTTCTTTGTCTTCTTAAAGAGGATGAAATATTATAGAGAAGCCAAATTATTAACTTTCAATTATCAATTTGTTATTATATATTTTTGCCAATTCACTGTTTCCAATTAGTTCTCACTGAATTTTTAAATAACGAAAAGTATATGTGGAAATATAATCATTCTTGGAAACCATTATGTATAGATTAGAAATAACCAAGGAATCCGAGAAATACTTAAAACCCAATAACGTTTGCCTAGCTATATTTAAAGGATATATCTTTTACGACGTTGATTTTCAACATAATCACTTTCGATAAGAGTCTTCACGATCTATCTGAAATTACGATTAATCTGTGGCTGTAATGACGAATAAAGATCCATGCCTACAGGGATTAAGCACAAAGATCTATTATTTTTTAGAAATATATGAAATAATATTCTAATCTAATATATTATTAAATAATATTTTAATTGTTACTTAATATATTAATAAATAATATTTTCCTTTTTAAAATTTCGCTAAATAATATCCTAATATTTATTCTGCTAATAAATAATATTTCAATTTTCATAATTTCATCAAATAATATTCTAATCTCTAATATACTATTAAATAATATTCTAATTTTTAAAATTCCATTTAATATAATAATACTCCAATATTCCATTTTCTACTAAATTACTTGTGCTATACTATTCTAACGTTTAAAAATGCTATCGAATAATATTCCGATTTTTAATATTCTTTAAATGTTTTTCTGACAAGAATTTACATGACTTCCATGTGAGATATCCACAATTTATCTGACCTTTGCCATTCTTACTTAGGGGAACAACATAAAAGGAAATGTACATTGCAAATATATTTAATTGCTACTATAAGATTGGACAGTGAAAGATTTTTCTGCAGTGTTGTGTATTCTAAGCAGAATTAACTTGATATCGATTTGACATCGATCCATCGATCGGTATGTGGCGCTCTGAATAATCTACTTCGATCAAGATCTAATACATTCGTGTGATCACATCTGGTTGTTCACGATCTTCCTTGTGAAATTTGATAAATATGTCACAGGAAATATCATTATATGAAATTATTATTTAATTTTTCACCACCTATCAAATAATTCTATGTCCCTCTATTTTTTCTTTTCTTTTTTTCTTTTTCTTTATTATTCTTTTTAATTATAAATATCTCTAAGAAGATTTTTACTGATGGACGTATCCAGTTTCTTGGCATTAACCCTCGGCTGGTATCATTATGACACAGCTAACCACAGGAGTTTGAGTTGAATTACATAAAAATGATGAACATGTAAAAGTGTGTAAGGTACAAAATAAAATTAAATCCAGTAAGTTTAGAATCTTGATTTGAATTTTCTTTTTATTCACATATGTTGTCAATTTTTGTTATTAAATGGTAAATATTGGTTGAGTGTTAAAGGAATTTTTGGGACATGATAAGATATGAATAAATAATAATTTCGTAATAGAATTCCTTTCAAACTTTCTCAAACCTTTTAAAGATTATACTTTTTGCTCAAAATTTGTAAAAATTCCTTTCAAACCTTTTCAAACTCGTTATTAAATCTAGTACATAATATTTATCAGAAACTTTACTATTTTTCTACAATTCATAATTAAAGTCTCTTACCACTGGAATCTGTATGCAATATCTATCAAAAAAATAATATAAATATGATGGGATATGAATAAATAATAATTTCATAATAAAAATTCTCTTCAAACCTATTCAAACATTTTATTAAATTTAGCAAACTTCTCAAAAATTATATTGTATATTTAAAATTCATAATGAAAGTCTACTTTTTCTCTTTTTTAAACACATTCTACTCAGTACTTTCTAGAGACTATACTATTTTTCCAAAATTTATAATAAAAATCTCCTTCCATCTTTTCAAATGTAAAATATCTAGTATTTATTAAAGACTATACTATTTGTCCAAAATTCATAATAAAATTCTCCTTCCACTCTTCCCAAATGCCTTATAAAATATAATATTAAATACCATAAATAATTTAATTAATCCAATCATAGACTTCCAACCGTCATCAAATAGGACTTAACTCTCCATCATCAAAAGGAACACAAACTAAGCCCAACATATGTACACGTACTTCAAATGAAATTAACTCGATATTATCGCGATATTAGCTCATCTATCTCTTAATTAATCAATCTAATTATAGGCTTGAGACCATGATCAAATGAAACTCTACTCACCATCACCAAAAGGAACATAAACTATACCCAATCTTCGTATATAGATGCAGATTTATCTCAAATAAAATTAGCTGGAAATTATCGCAATATTAACTCATCTATCTCTGTATTATTCAATCCAGTTATAGACTTGCAACCATAATCAATGGAACTCTATTCTCTATTGCCAAAAGGAACATAAATTATACCCAATCTTCGTATATAGATGCAGATTTATCTGAAATAAAATTAGCTGGAAATTAGCGCAATATTAACTCATCTATCTCTGTATTATTCAATCCAGTTATAGACTCGCAACCATAATCAATGGAACTCTATTCTCCATCACCAAAAGGAACATAAACTATACCCAATCTTCGTATATAGATGCAGATATATTTCAAATAAAATTAACTCGAAATTATCGCAATATTAGCTCATCTATCTGTTTATCTCTCTCCTCGTGGTCCTTGAGCATACAAAAGTATCGATCAAAGATATTAGTTATCCAAATAAACTTGGTTCTCCGTTGCAGCGAGACCTAGTTGACATAACGCCTCGTTTGTTATTCTCAATGCCGTTCCTCGAATCGCGATTTCGTCGAACGAATATTTCTCATTGAACATTATTTGTCCTCGTTGAATCACAGTGTTTATTAACCCTTTAACCGGGGAAGAGTGATATACAGGGTGTTCTATCGCGAATGAAGAATGGCCGACCTCTAGCTGTGATCCTGAACGGGAATTAGCCTAAAACCTGGATATTCAAGGACGTTATTAACAATTCTCTCATCGACCGAAATGAACTTTTATGTCCGGAAACATTTTATCTCTGTCACAGAGACGTGATACCATCTTTTGGCTGACTCTTGTTTTACTTGCAAATATTTTGGGCTCACCTTGTGCACTGTGGTATTACGCTCGGCCTCGTGAGAGCATTGGTGCAGAAATTTCAAGAAAATTTCTTTTATCACTATTCCTTATGTAATATAGATTTTTATTATAGTATAGTAGAGTCCTATATGACATGATTATTGCATTATGCTAGTATACAGTGATCTGAAACATGGCAATTTATAAGCAGGAATCAATTTTTATATCTTGACAGAATTTTTCCTGTAAAATGAGAATTTTCCAAATTTACAAATTTTCCAAAACTACAAATTAAATAAGATTCCTT